GGCTCATTGGCAGCAGCCGCTATGATGGAAATCCTGTCTCAGCCTAACTTACAGTCAACCTTACAACAGGCTAAAAGCTGGAGCTGAGGCAGGTTTTAAGCCTTTTAACTGTTACATCGCGCCCACCTGTCAATCATGTCAGCTACGCGCCTATCTATGGACGTCACGTATCGTTCATAAAATCAAAACAGAACCGTTAGCAGTGTGTGCCCATGATGACAATAGCTAATCAGACCCATTTCATTTTTTGTACCAGGCTGTTAATTTGTTAATTTCTACTGTAAAACTGGCTTTTTTGGCTGTGGTGTGTATGTGACTTCCAGGGCTCCTGGAGCCAGCTTCAAGCGATGAACTGCAGGATTTTGCACTTCCACATTGGCTTCATTTTTCTAGAACGGAGGTTGCCGCTTGTACTCAATGGATGCCAATTAAGATAATTATCAATTAAATAATTGACAGATTAGATGATTATAATTGTACTATGGTACCAAACATTTACCATGATCAAGCCCATAACTTAATATTTATAGAAGAGAACTTTGTGCAACTTTATTATTGACAAACCAGTTCCCAACCGCACTGTGCCGTTAAACTGAGCATAAATGGCACCGATTTTACACTGTGATTTTCTGACTTTTTTTTCTTGACACGATGGAACTCTGATGTAATGGCACACATAAGGAGTCTGTGGCTGCTAAGCTCCCACACCTCATCGCTGAAACAATCCCCCAACTCCACCTACAAGCTGCTCAAATGCTCGGCATGTTTGGAAGCACATTGCCTGCCTGTGTGAGCAACTTCACTCTGTGATGAAGGTGAGCTTGAGCAAAACCTCACACAGGTGTCTCACTAAAGCACACAAATCATCCAGAGACTTTTGACAGCTCAACATTTTTCTGGCAGCCAAGACAAGATAACAAACATCGAAAAAATAATTTACGCTTATGTCTCTATCCCAAATTGTATCTCTCGATTGGTTGATATTTTTTTTTTAAACATCATTGGTTTGCTCTGAACTCTATTAAATGGCTTAGAGCTGTTAAGTTCATATTGGTGTAAGAATAGTTTGCCAGATTACTTTTTTATGTACCTCTACATCTGAAAAATGGTCACTTTAAGTATGTTTTTCAATAAATGTTCACCTTGTTAGGTCCTTGACACTCCTGATTTTTAAATAATAAATCCACTAGCAGCCTATTTATATATTCAGTCATATTGATTTAGGCAAAGGTAAGGGTTTGACAGCCCTGGTATAGAGAGTGTCTAATAAAAGGTAAATGTTGATCAGTGATTGCAGAACCCAAGAGGATGCCATTGAATAACTGTTCTGTCCTCAGCCCAAATACAGTGTGTTTACTGTCAGAGAGAGTACAACAAATTCTCAAATTTACCTCTCAAGAAGTTAAAAAAATACATTTATAAAACTTGTTTCCTCTTCATTTGGTGGTCATTACTCGATTCATTCAGCGAGGTCACGTCTGAGCTTGCTCATCACTGTGGCAGCAGAGATCAGATTTAGCCCGGATGACATCATATGCAGAGTTAGTTAATCCCGGGAAGAGGACTCTGTGTGGATGAAGCAGGCCATCACCCCCACACAGGTTAACATGCAGAAACCGTCACGTAATCAGGGATGACATAATCATATATTTGCTTCAAGTGTTTCACTCTAAGAGGGATCCTTGATATGGCATGTAGCCTCTCATCCTGCATCCACTCCATGGCTGTTGTAGCTGCAGGATTTGATCCTACTGGAGACCTACTTCAGCACTTTTACCAACAAATCTGTAAGCTTTTAAGCGTTGAGCCGCCGCTGGCATAACTCAGTTACCACAATTTATTATCCCATATTGTTACCACAATTTATTTTCCCATATTGTAATTGAAGTTCAGCCAGTTATCAGGGCAGATGAATTATATATGTTGAGCAAGCATATAGCAAAGAATACACTGTGATGAAGGGAATTTATTCATGGTGTACATTGTGAAAAGGAAAACCGACATAAGCTGAAAATTAGTTGTTTTAGTCTCAACAAAAATGGGAGAAATCCAAACTTTCTTTGCATAAGGTGCATTGCATCTTTACACTTTTTTCGAGTTGAACACTGTCACTTCTGTTGGCCTTTTAAAACTATAACTCCTGATACCCAAAAGCAAATCTAATGCACACCGTGTTCATGTGCTAAATTAAATGTACGACCATCGCTATGTTTGGGTATAGAAAAAATGCCTTCTGATAGCTCGATTTCATTGATTTGCCATAATCAATAAGTTTTATGCTCCTGAAGAGTTTGATTGAAGTTTCTTGCTGAATCAGCAAGAATAACTTTTACTTTCTTGCAGTACATCAGTGGAGAATGTGCTTGTCTCATCCACAGAGTACAATGACAATCATGCTTCAGGTATATTGAACTAGGTTCACGGTCAGCAACACACAGGGCTGCACTGTGTAAAACAGCTGAGTTGAAGAGGTTCCTGTAGCAGCAGGTCAGACAGAGAAGGGCCCTTCTGGCCTGTGGGTCAGCTGTCCCGGACACAGGCCAGCACACCTGGCAAAAAGCTGTTCCTTGCATGACAACACACGGTGTAACAAAAACTTCACTTTAGTCAAGCACTGCAGACAGGACGAAGAAACAGGGGAATTTTTAAGTCATCAGAAAACAATTTGTGCTTAAGTTTGCCCTCATACAAATACCAAGAGGATACAAATGGCAGCATGTGTTAAAAAGGAAAATATGTTGAGCAAATCTTGACCCCCCCCCCCCCCCCCAGTACATTTCTTTTTAGAACAGAGCTTCTGTCATTGGAGCATCTCACCTCATAGAGTAGTTAAAACACGATCTATGAGAAGCTGAGAAAAAACCTTCTCATATGTTACATCAGACATTTGCAGCGTGGCCCTCGTCATTTACACAGCCATAGCTTATCCCATCTGTTGGGAGTAGAGATGACTCTTAAGTACGTAAAGCTGCCATAAGCCTCTGTTTCCTATTGTAAGCTGTTTTAAAGGGTCCTGTGGTTTGGTGCCATCTGTTTTTACTCATTATTTTTATATTTCTTATTTTCTTTTCCTCTCCTCCCTGGCATGGCCTGACTTGTGTGAGATGTGCTCGCTCCCTGCGCTCGCTCTCTGCGCTCATGTGGGAGGTGGATAACGATACAGCAGTTCCCAGATCTGCCTCCCAGACTGGTCACGTGTCGTCCTCCTACAGGCCTCCACTCCTCTGTACTGCCTCCTGTCTTTCATTCTCTGTTTTCTAGCCCCTGGCACATTTGTTCTTACTTCTCTGGTACTTTGTTGACATTATGTTGCAGAAGACGATAGAACAACATTGCGTGCACTATTTAGTATCTGTGAGAGCAACTATTGGCTTTAAGGGAATGTGTTGATCTAAACTTGTCATGTTTGCATCACTTAAAAGAACAGTAATGCATTTGTTATCCAGTGGATTGTAGAATAACCGGTATAGTCACTGAATTATCAATCAGTGTAGAGGTTTTTTTCACTATAAGATAAGTTATGCAAACGTTTTCAATTATGTATGGCTGCTTAGGGGGACATTATGTTACACAGTAAAGCCTGTCTGGTCATCTTTTTTTAACCATCTCTGCTAAATCTGTGTTTGTAACTGCTCTGTTTTATATCTGTACCTTTTTTAATGTGCTGCTGTCTGTCTTGGCCAAGATATTCTTGTGAATGACATTCTTAATCTCAATGAGATTTTGAAATAAAATAAAAAAAACGTCTCTTGATTGTACCTTCAAGTGAAACCACAGAACACATCCTGAAGGACTGAGACGAGTCATAATGGAAAGTCTCCTGCTGTGTTGAACACAGACCATACCTTTGTGTGTTAACTCCAACGTGCTATGAAGGCACCAGAGGAGAAAATGCTTCTGATTTGATAACGGCCTAATGGAGTGAATGTGGGAGCTTAACAGCTTTCAGTTGACATGATTCAAACTAAAAGTGCTTTGGAATTTGATGCGCACAGGAAACAACTTTAATGTTAAAATCTCCCTTCTGTCTTCACTTGACAAATTGGTAATCTAAATGAATTATTACTATTAACTTGGTTAAACTTGTAGGTAGGTTAATGCAATAACTCTCCTCGTATCTGTCATCACTTGTGTCCCACTGTTTTACTCTAAGGAAACCATTAGCCAGATGTAAATGAATTATGATGGTCAATCTTTCGTTTACCTGCTTGGCATGGAAAGGCATAGCGGAGCTTATTTTATCAATTTGCATCCATTCAGTAATGATAGCAGTCTGTAAAAAGGGGTTACATACCACTTTTCTGCTCAATGACTTTAGCACAGTTAGTGCAGCTATTGAAGATTATGGAAAGGAATTAAGTTGTGTGTCTGTGTGTGTGTGTGTGTGTGCCTGTGTGTTCTCTATCTTCTTCACATTTGTCTATAATGCCCTTGTCATCATGAGAGTGGGGTTAATCAGATTATATTTTAGGCTGTAAAGACGGAGCTCGGGATATCATGAACAATATGTCTTAGTGGGTCAATTATCAGCCATGTCATCACAAAAGCCGGCTGTTCGCCAGCTTGAACTGTTCTTTATCCTCTCACATCCCACAAGTCTGACCTGAGACCTAATTTAAGTTCTATTAGGCATTGGGATAAGAACAGCATTGTGCTGCAGTTATACAAGGTAATTGGAAATGGAGGTTATCATATTAAACTGTATGCAAGGTTGTCACTCAGAAAAATAAAGCTCGTAGCACAGTCAGTTGTGCTACTGTGATGTTGAATTTAGTCTTTAATTTCCCTTTATTGGGTTAAAGCAATGCAAATATTGATGTTTCACAACTACTCCAATGTGCTTTTTTTTTTTATTCATTAGAAACTCACAATAATCTCTGAGAATAATTCTTCACCACAGGGTTATTACACAACACGTCATTGTAGAAAGGGAATATTGACATTGACTGATCTGTGAGCTTTGTAATATTTATGCTCTTTTTTTCTTGCTTCTCTTTCAGGAACCTATAAAGTCCAGGGCGCCACAGCTCCATTTGGAATATAGATTTTACAAACAGTTGGGAAATTCAGGTAAGAGATATGTAGCCTGTAGGTTATTGTTCTCTAATACACAGCACATTAATCCTGACTTCTGAACACGCCTCTGAACAAGCCTTTTTGCACTGCATTGTGCTGGACAGGCAGAGAATACTCATCGGTAAATAAGTTGATATGCAATTAAAGGGCCAAAAAACATGGTACACAGACATCACGCAACATATAGCTAACAGTCCTGTCACAAAGAGAAAACATCTGCTGCACTGACCACAGTTCTGTGACCCTTCAAGAGGTAATATATGTGTACATTATGTTTAAAAAATGATCAAATAAACGTAATACTTCGTAACTAAAGCAAATCTAAGAAGCAATGCAACCTTGTAGGTGTTTTACCATATATTATAATAAATATACTAAATTAAATATCACATGCTTGATTTTTAAAACAATCTACTCCTATTAATTCATCAGCAATGTGAATCTTAATAATTTAAACTTAATAATTTAAAACTCTGCATTTTCAACAGCATTAATCACCTGCAAATATTCAGTATCTACAGAAGCCCATCGGCTGTGTGCAGGAAACACATCTAGAATACAACATGTTTAAAAAAAAAAAAAAAAAGTTTGTGTAGCAAAAAAAAAACTCCAACTTGTTTCTTTGTTCAACCTACCTCCAATGTAGTTTTTAAATGTTTTTTTTTTTATTTGATGTGAAATCCTGGGCAGAGTGCACAGAAGGCAGGGCAGCTTGCAGTTGACTCATTCGCTCTCACAATCTGACTTGTATTCACAAAGGGAACCAGAGGAGGCAATCATGAATAATGGAAGTGTAGAAATGGATTCCTTTTTAAGTGAACAAGTTTAAAATGTTAGAGCAAAAGTGTCAGTCCCTTAATATGTTGGGTTTCTGATAGGGTGTATGCTAAATATACTGATTTATTTCAGTAAGAGTTTTAGGGCAAAGTCTGTGAAGCTTATGGGAGACAATTATAATGTCATGTCAATTATAATAAAAAATCATAATGTCATTGCACATGACATTATGATTATGTACGGTATGCCAGTGAATGTGACCCTACCATTCTAGCTCTTACTGTGGAAAATTATTTGAGTAAATGCTTAATTAAGCTTTGTACCAGATTTTCACTGGAGTTGCGTTACAGCTATTTCTCAGCGTAGTTTTTATGTTGTTACAAATAAGATTAACATTCCTCTGTAATCCTCCAATTATCAGAGATTGTTTTCATTAAACTTACAATATCCTTTAAGGAAAATGACAGTTCTTGTTTGTGAAAACTAGGGATACAACAATTCTCAACATAATGTTGAAACTGTTCAGTGAGTCATTCACGCTTCAATTCGCGCTTGTGGATAGTGTTTTTTTGTTTGTTTTGCAACATCTTTCCATACATTGTGTTTCATTAAAAATTGCCTGCTTGGTTTGCCTGTGAGTCCATGTGCTGGGATATGGACCCCCCCCCCAGTTAATATACCGTCACTATGCGCTAAAGTTGGGGAAAGATGACAACACAAATTACTTAAACATGGTGAGTGGTGAGGAAAGGCTGCATAATGAGGAAGCACCGCCGTCTTTCAAATCAGTGCTCTGAAGACATTTGGCTTTCAGTGTGGAGTATGTAAAGGTAGAGAAAACGGTGAACAAAAACATGACTGTCTGCAAATGATGGTTTACAAGAGTCACCATCTCAAGTGGAAACACTTACAGAGGTTGGCTAAGTTTACAGCAACAGACTACAGCAGGCTGTAATGTTACTAATGTGAAGCTGCTGATTGTTACACACGCAGACACCAGCAGTTACCTGTATGATGCAGAAGAGGTGAGAGTGAACGGTGCAGCGTTTGTAAAAAAGTTACCATTCTCACTGGAATATCAACGCTTTACAACCATTTGTGTTGATATATCTAACTATATATATAATATTTAAAAGTTCCCTTTTTTCACTGAGACTATACAACATACACCTGGAATGTGTATGAATGGAAACGTTGTTTTTCTTAAAAGTAAAATATATATAATCATTTTGGAATACAAAATTGCTTTTTATTCATAACCCCTTGATATTCCTGGAAAGATTGCCTCAAACATCAAAAAAAGGAATACCAAAAAAACACTCCAACAGTGCGGGCTTTCAGAATTGAATCAAACTGAAAATGGTGACCAAAATAGAGAACTGTGGGCTGACTGTATTGTTGCATCACAGTGAAAACTGTCAATGTAGTTTGAATGGAAGGCAGAAACAGAGAGGAATAGATGCATTTTCATGTCTATCCTCAATATTGTATGTAACACCAGGGTGAATTGACACACAAGTGCAACATAAACAGCAAATTCATTTTACTTGAGGCAAAATTTCACTGTGAGTTTGTGTATCTCTCTGCAGCCCTGGTTGGTACTGGCAGTTATGAAAGCCTGCATCGTCTTTCAAATTCACCTCTGTGGTACCCAAAGTATTTCCTCTCCTACAGCACTGTCCACAACATGTTAATGTGCTATGATACATATCTGGGGCTCCAGGGGAGTAGCTCTTTGATCTAGTCTGACTGGACATCAGGTTACAGAGAGTGAGAAACAAGGCAGGGAATGGCAGAGGACTTGTATTTCACAGCACTGCCTCGTTGATGTAAGTTTGTCAAGGTGCATGCATTTATTTGGATGTTTCACAAAACTTGTGCCCTGTCTCTAATCCAGAAACTATGTGCAAACATGTCACCAAAACATAGTCAAAAGTTGTTTTTTATATATGCACTCCTGAAAATATCTAGATCATTTCAGGAGGCCTGCTCCAGATATTCTCCTGACCTTGCTGTTCTCATATGCTCCTCACAGCGGGTGACTATCCCTGTCAGAGGGGAGAGGGGCGGGGGTCTCCTGAGGTAATACGTGATGTAAAAAAAACAACGCGGAAAAAGCAACACAGTTCGCTATATGACGCTATAATGAGAACATTTGCCTTTATATAAATGTTATGTGTTGTCCAACGGAATGACAACATCCACACTAGAGCGGAGAAAAACATGCTGACGAACAGAAAAAGTAATGCAGCCTTTTAATTACATGCACAGAGATAATAGTTGCCACGTGTATACATTCTATGCACCTTGCAGCAGTCACAGTATATAAATGTCACTTTCCCTCCTATTTGCTCGAGGTGAATATCCTGCTGCGTTCTCACATCAGCTCACTCAGACATGCGGAGCAGAAAATACTAGCGGTCTGGCAGGAGAAACTCTGGCTCAAGTCCGAAGGAAAAATTTGGCTGTTTGCGTTCACATATACAGCTCCTCCTGGAAATATTTTGCAGTGTGAAAGCCCTAAAAATTACAAAAGCAGAAGTTACTATCACAAGAAGTGCTATAAGCATCCAGCCTTTACTCCTCATCCATAGCTTCTTATTGACCCATAAACCCAGACCAAGTACCTTATGATTTCTTTTAAGGTGAAACCAAGTCCCAATTGATATTTTAGTATAGAATTTGGGACAAAGGATGCCCACTAAGGTAATTGAAAGGTAACTACTACCTGACTGTCTGCTAGAGTATATTATAAAAATGAACTGAACACGCATAAGAGAGAAATGACTGTAGGTTGCATGTACTTTTGTAGGTGAGACATGTAGGGTCTGCTAACATGGGAGACTACCCACTGCTCAGTGTAGTGTGGATTGCAACTAGAGCTGGTTAAGCCTATTTATGACCCTTTGAGAGAGGAACCCTGTTGGTGTGTTGCTGGGACAGCATTAAGGTTTGCGTGTCTTTAAAGATGTATCATTACGTAGCTGTAGCCATGTAGGATCTAAGCCTTTTGAGCCCTGAGTCTACCAGTAATCATTGGTTTATGTTTTGTTTTTTTCCCCCCTTACTGGAGAGGAATAAATCAAGTTCATGTACAACAAGTTATTGAGCTTGCTTATGCTAGCGCAAGTAGCAGCTGGGTCTGTGGCTCAGACACTGCAAGGACAGTTAGATGTTGTCAACACACATGATACACCTTAGAGTCATATTCAGTATAGAAGGGGCACGACTAGTGTGACTAGTTTATTACACATGTTCTTACGCATACATGTGCTTCACTGTGACATTTACATGTTGATCATTGTTGAGCAAAAAATATTTGAAAACTTACTTAGTTACGTAGTTGAATTGTGATAGTATTATATGTGTGTGTTTTTGTTTTTCATTCTAAGACTAATGTAGGTGCTTTGCCCTGGTCCTACATCATCTGGCAAGAGTGTGTGTGTGAGTGTGTCTTGGTCTAATTTAGTGACACGTGCCAGCTTCCTCGCTCCTTGTGCCAGAGCAAAAGCCCTTTTACTGTTGATAAGGAGGTGGGGCATTAGGGCATTCCTTGACTATTTATAGCTAGCCCTTCACGAGCAGTCAGGCCACCATGGTGATGTCTGCTTGGAAAGCTTTACCAAGCCAAAGTATCCTGTGTCCTCCCTGATTGATGACTGCAGATTTTCAGGGAACTCTGTGACATGCACTGCTAACAGAGTTTAAACTGTTCTTCCTTGTTTGCATGTTGTCATTCTGGTCTTGAAGCTGATATCACACAATCATGTCCATACATGCATGATCTAAAGTAGATGTAGGTTAAATGCTTTGTGCCATTTCCTTGAATTATTGCTTAGGATTTTTTACCTTGTGGGTTTTTTTTTTTTTTTTGACCATTCTGTGTTACACTGAGTTATTGTTGGCATCCAGAAAACCTTAATTTGCCATTTCATGCAGGTCACAGTTGATATATCTAAGGCCTGGGCTAAGATCATGTTGCACTTGTGTATAAACCAGATTCCTACAATTACAATACAATATTTCTACAGACATGGACAAGTCAGCGCTTAACGCCAAGGAGGAGCTTATCTGCACACTGTTAATTCTCTTCTGTCCTGAACACGTCCCAGCTGTTGGAAATTCAGCCTTAGAGTAATTTACAATACTACTGGCATTACTGTTGCTTTGAGTAGATATTGCAGTTCTACTTATTGACTTACGGTAGTTGTTGAAAT